TAGCCAAGACTACGAATGTCAAAGAATAAGAATGTGATCTTTGTGAAAGAAAAAAAATGATTAAATTGCATGTTCCATCTTCCAGACTGGTCATTGGTCATTTAAATTGTGATTGAATCCATTGCAGTTGAAGGCCCCTCAGCTAATCCATTTACTGTGAATGTTATTAAACATTTATTAAGTACCTATACATGGTAAAGAACTTCAAAGGTATGGTTTTGTTCACTGAGTTCCAAAATAGTTAAGAACCTAACACTGCTAAAGTATAAGTGATAGTTGCCCAGTCATGTCCAACACTTTGCAAGCCTGTGGATGGTAGCCCACCAGACTCCTCTGTCCATGGAATTCTCCAGACAAGAATACTGGAGTGGGATATCATTCTCTCTCCAGGGGATCTTCCCAACCCAGGGACTGAACCTGGGTCTCCTGGATTGTAGGCAGAGTCTCTACAATTTGAGTCACCAGGGAAGCCCCTAAAACTACTAAGTGGATCAACTAATCCCAGCATAAGCTGATTCACAAAACAGGAGCACTGCAGTTACTAAAGCATATAAACTGATTTTTGATTTATCAGGAAAGCATTCAGAAAACTATCACTACTAATGAGTAATAGAAGATACAATGGGGTTGGAAAGCTTGCTTAAAAAAGAAATTCATCCAAAATATGAGTTCAATTCCCTGCCTTTCCAAAGAATAAAGAAAAGGAATTTATAGGAAAGAAAGAATCTGTAAACATACTCTAAGGAGCCCAGGTAAATTTAGGGTAGTGTTTCTGAACCACATGCAGAAGAACAGCTCGAAGAGCTCACATGGAGATTCTTAGGCTCCCAACCCAGAGCAACGGAATCAGAATCCTTGGGAATCAGGTCTGGGGATCTGCATTGCGAACAAACTTTCCAGCTGATTTATGTGTGTGCGTAGGTTTGAGACCCATGAAACAATGCAAGCCATGACACAACCTTTGGCAGGAGTCTTCAAGGTTCTTAAAAGACAAAAATCCAAACAAGTTTAAGCCGTTTTATGCCTGGGGGTCGAATGAAGAGCAGAGACCAGACTTCAGACCCCGGAGCAGCTGTAGGGCTAAACAGTCATTCAGTCATTCTGCCAGCAGCTCAAACCATGATTTTCAGCACTTGGAGGCAGAGCCGATGGATCATTCAATGGGAGCAAAAGCCAAACAGTACAAAGGGATGGCGTCTCTTGTTGCTCATGCATTTGCCAAACTTCTCCCCAACCCTAGCATCCCCTGGCACAAGTCGAGGCAATCATTCCTCGTTAGCTTCATAGGCTGGGATGTTAAAATCTATAAGAAGTGAGATGGAAGAAAGATGGCTAAGAATATTACCATATGGGAATTCTAATCTTCATTAAAAAATTTCAACATCAAGTCCAAGCCTCTTTTCTGATAACCAGAGAAAAACATAGTTTTACTTCCTTAAACAGGGAAACCATATGAAATATAATAGAGAAAAAGAAAAAGTCACTACAGTTTTAAAACTGAGTAATTCTCTAGGAAGTTAAATCAGAAACATGGGTAATGAATGCAAAGAACGGAGTACTGAGTTAAGACTGAGAGGGAATGGTTCTAGATATACCCTCAAACAGGTACGTGACTTTACATAATGCACTCAGCTACTCTTTACCCCAGAGGAGTTAATGTCCTAAGAAAAGAGATTAAGTCACAAAGCAACGTCAAAATGAAAGCAACATTATTATCACTTATGGCAAAATTTATTTTATGCAATCCAGAATATTAGGGAACAAATGCGAAAGAGTGAGCTGATTTTTCAACAGAGGCAAAAGATACCAAGCTCCTGAAGTCAAAAACACTAATTCAAAAAGGCACATGCACCCCAATGCTCACAGCAGCACTATTTACAACAGCCAAAGCAGGAAGGCCAGCTGAACGCCTGCAGATGGGTGAGCAGGTGAGCAGGAGGCGAGATGAGTGGATAAAGAAAGGTGAGTGGAGTGCTACTCAGTCATGAAAAGCCTGCACGATGCCACCTGCAGCAACCTGGATGGACCTAGAGATTATCATACTAAGTGAACTAAGACAAAGACAGATGTCAGATGATATCACTTACACGTGGAATCTAAACAAGCAATACAAATCAACCCCTGTATAAAACAGAACCAGACTCACAGACATAGAAAACAAAGTTATGGTTACCAAAGGGGAAGGCGGGGAAGGGATAAACTGGGAGTTTAGGGTTAACAGATGCACGCTACTCTACATGTGCTGTGCTGTGCTGAGTCACCCTGCTGCGTCTGAGTCTTCACAAGCCCATGGACTGTATACAAAATGATAAACAAGGACCTACTGTATACACAGGGACTATACGTGATATCTTGTAATAACCTATAACGGAAAAGAGTGTGGATAGGAATAGAATATGTATATGTATATACATACATATCGGAGAAGGCAATGGCACCCCACTCCAGTGCTCTTGCCTGGAAAATCCCATGGGAGGAGGAGTCTGGTGGCCTGCAGTCCATGGGGTCACGAAGAGTTGGAGACCACTGAGAGACTTCACTTTCACTTTTCTCTTTCATGCATTGGAGAAGGAAATGGCAACCTACTCCAGAGTTCTTGCCTGGAGAATCCCAGGGACCGTGGAGCCTGGTGGGCTGCCGTCTATGGGGTCACACACAGTTGGACAAGACTGAAGTGACTTAGCAGCAGCAGCAGCATAAATATATATAATTGCAAATCAACTATACTTCAATAAAAATAACTTATATAAAGAATTATAAAACCAGCTATAGCATCAAATAACTATACACACATCTTCTGCATTAATACCCCAGATGAAAACAAAATAGCACAGTACAAACTGGGAAAATCTAGGCCACTCTCACCAAACTGCTCCTGCTCTTGCCTGCATCAAGCTACACCAAGGTGAAACTTCCTAATAAAACAACCCACTGTGGCTTGATGTAGCCTTCTAGGCTGCAGTGGTTACTGATTCCGCCTGACACCTTACTGTCACCTAACTACCTATATCCACCTGAGTGCCAAAGGCAAGCTTCTCACACTGGAGAAGCACACCGACAGTGGGATTGCAAGGAAAAAGGATGGTCAGTAAGGGCTGCTGCCAGCCATCTCGGAGCTCAGGACTAAATCTAAGGATTTTGACACACACTTAACACTTTATTATCTTACAGATTTTAGACCAACACCAAATTCAAGTGTCTCTAGAAACAAGCAAGGAAGCCCGTGCTTGTCTTTAGACTGGAGATTGCAGTGTATACCACTAGGCTCCAAGTTATGTATCTTCTCTGAACATTGGTTCATGAATTGAGTATTAAGATTAATGGGACTATTGGAAGAATTAAATAAGACTCGACTATAAAACCCTTCATACAGTGTGCTGCCCATTGCAAGTACTCAATGAAGCCATTATTGTTCATAGTAAACGAGTAGCCCAGAATAGGCACTCAGTAAAGACTGATACTTATCCTTTCTCATTTTGTATTTCAAAGGTAAAAATACATTCTAACTGAATGACAAGTTACATATAAAAGATAGAATATATGATTAAATCAGAACCCAGTTTTGTTGACATTTACCTTTTCCCTCCTCGTGGCTATGGGATCAGTTTTACGGTTTACACTGGCCATAATCAGAAACCACATATTAAAATTTTACAATTTAAAGTTTAAATCTGTGATGGTATAGGGAGTTTTGCTACTTCTATCCAATATTGAAACAGCTTCTCAAACTCTTTCTCTGGTATAACTACTGCACACTAGGATCCTTAGGACAACCCCCTCCCACTACCTGTTTTCATGACCGTCATCAGCATCATCACCGTCTTCCTTACTGGGAACAAACACCCTGTGAGCGCTATAGAAAATACTTTACTGGATCCAAATGTGTCCCCCAAACACAAAGCGCCAACAGTACAGTTCACACAAGAATAGAGAAGGCATAGCCCCTGTCTTGAGATGTCAACAATCTAGAGAAGACAGAAAAAGATACTTTGGGGACTTCCCCAGTGGTCCAGCAGCTAAGACTCCATCCTCCCAATGTTGGAGGCCCAGCTTGGTCAGGGAACTGGATCCCACATGCCGCCGCTAAGTTCACATGATGCAACTAAAGATCCCACGTGCCGCAACTGAGGCCCGGCGCAGCCATGTAAATAAATAAAAATAAATATTAAAAAAGAAAAAGTTACTGTGCTAATCAAGGCACGCACAGACACACACACATGGCCAAGCACCTGTATATTTAAAGGCAAATAATGACAATAAGAATAAAAATAAAATACATATCTATAGGTGTGATGATGTGTAAATCAGTAAGTAGGAGACAACAAAAATATTAGGACAACCTTGTCCTGCATCTTAAAATGTTTCTATAAAAGGTAAATTCTTACAGGTAAAATCTTAAAACCATTTTTTTTAAATAAATAAAATCGACAGCATGCCTCCTCTAGTCTATCATGAAAATATTTGTAAGATGCCTCCATGTATCAATGGGGCCAATATAGTACAAACGCCTGTCAGTCAAGGGCCAGATGTGCCTATGAAACACCAGAGACCAAGCAACTAATGCCAGATCGCTTCAGCAAAGCCTGTCTGTAGAGGGAAATAATGGCATATAAGATCCATTTGAAAATCCGTTTCACACTTCTAATTTAAAGCCAATTCAAATGCAATTTACTTTATCAAGACCCTTAATTTAGTGAAGGTCATGAGTACACTGAACAGAGGTGAGAATTATTTATGCTTATCAAAAGATAACCAATTAATAGCATTGCTGAACAAGAAAGAAACCAGGGACTCCTACTGAAAACCATCAGCTATCACTGTATAAAGAGGCTTTCTTACAAATCAGTGCATTCTAAGGAAACGCTTTGACTTGATCACCTCTGCACCAATGCAACCTCATTTGTCATTCCGTTTGAGTTCAAGAATAGCCCTTCACTTCCCCAGTGTTGACAACTGATGAGACGTGAAACAACACTTCTGGCACAAAACATGAAACTTACCACTCTCGTCATCAATATTGAACCTTCCAAGACCACTGCCATCCCTGATGGAGTACTGGATCTCCCCATCCCTCCCCGAGTCCTCATCGTGGGCAGTCACCTGCAGCACGCTGGTTCCAATCCGTGAGTTTTCTTTTACAGAGCCAACAACAGCAAAGTCCGGGAAATAGGGAGTATGGAGGTTCTCGTTGACATCCACCACTTCCACCTCCACAAAGGACACGGATGACAGAGAGACAGGCCGCCCTTTGTCCTTGGCCCGAACTGTGAGGTTATAGAACTGCTGCTTCTCATAGTCGAGCTCCCTGCTCAGGCGGATGGCGCCACTTGCTTTATCTATTTCAAATCTCCCGTTGTAATCATTGACCAAAGAATAGCGCACTTGACCCCCCAGCCCCAGATCTGGGTCATGGGTCTCCAGCCAAGCAATGACGGTGCCAACGGGCAGGTCTTCAAGGACCTTCACACTGTAGCTACTGGGAATGAAAGCCGGGGAGCAGTCATTGACGTCATCCAAGAAAACCTTCAAGGTGACAACTGAAAAGAGCTGCTGGCCACTTTCTGCCTTGTCTCTGGCTTCTATTTTTAAAGAATAGTTCGCTTTGGATTCCCGGTCCAACTGGTCCGCTATATACACGATTCCAGTGGAGCTATTGATGGCAAATTGCTGTGTATCTGTCAAGACTGAGTAAGTCACTTCACCATTAGAACCCAAGTCTTTGTCTCTAGCTTCCACTTGAATAATCTCAGTGCCAATACTTGAACTCTCAAGAATGTTAACTGAGTAACTGTCTTGAAGAAAAATAGGGCTATTGTCATTGGCATCTTCCACATTGATGGTAAGCAACCTCCATGAGGACTTTTGTGGATTCCCTAAGTCATAGATGGTGATGTTAAGGAGATAGAGGTCTCTGTGCTCTCGATCCATGGGCATGAGGACTTGAAGTTGCCCGGTCTCCATATCAATATTAAAACAGCTATCCATATTCCCATCGGATATTGTAAATAGCACCTTCCCATTGAAGCCAGAGTCGGAATCATAGGCTTTAATCTTCAGAATATTAGCACCAACTGGCAGATTCTCCTTCACAGCCACATCAGAAGGAAATGACTTGTCAAAATGTGGTCCCTGCCGGTTAACTGAATAAAAGTCAAGAAATCCATCTTCTAGATTCAGTTTCCCATTTGCTTTGGCCTTAATGAGGAGCTTCTCTGCCAGCTTCTGAGCCACGCGAGTTTCTCGGCAACTGAAGCTCTTTGAAGACACCTTTCCATGTAAGACTGAAATGTTAACAGACATGGGGTCCGCAAGATTCTCTCCATCAGTGGCTGTAATCCTGAGAGCAAAATTTCCATTTTTAATGCCAGCATTCATCAGTGACTTTTTAAGCTGCAAAACACCAGAGTCTGGGTTTAAATAAAAGAAACCAAGTTCGTTTCCAGAGATGATTTTGTACTTTACAAGCTCCAGCTCATCAATATCGATCGCTGAGACAGCTGTGATATGACCCCCAACTGGAAAGTCATAGGAGATCACTCCCTGGCAAGCCACTTTTTCAAACAGGGGGCTGTTGTCGTTGACGTTTCCAACTCGAATAGTCACGTTGACCTCGCTCTCGTGGCGGTATGGCGAGCCCCAGTCAGAGGCTCTGACGACGAACCTGTATGTTTCTGGAGAGGATTCAAAGTCCAGCTCCTCTGTGGTGCTGATGACGCCTGTAAACTGGTTAATGGCAAACGGCAACACGTTCAAGCTGGCAATACTGTAGGTGATGTACCCGTTTTCTCCTTTATCCTTATCAGACGCTGAAACTGTCAGAACGCTTGTTCCCACGGGAACACTCTCATTCACAAACGCCTCATACAGTGGCTGCTGAAATTCTGGGGTGTGGTTGTTGGCGTCTTCTATGCTGATGGTGACTTGTGTTTTTACATCTCCTTCTTTATTTGCCACCCCCAATTTATAAACCTCCTTCTTAATGGTATTCAGTGGCTGTGCGGTGACGATCAGACCTGACTGGGGATTGATTTTGAAGTACTGAGCATCCTCACCAGGGGATAATCTGTACTCCACATCTAGTGGTTCGGGACTTAATTTTACTATAGCAACCACGACACCAGGAGGGGAAAATTCACTAATGCTCACTGCGTATGCTTCTTTCTCAAATCTAACTGGGACAGTGTCTCTTTTGGGGTTGGCGATGTGGACTATCTTGACTGCTGAAAACTTCTGAGGTGATCCCTTGTCTTTGGCTTGAAGAGTGAGGTTGTAACCATAGGGAAAGCTCTCCCAGTCAACCGGCTTCTTCTCCTTAATCCTGTACTCATTCACCCACTTTCCTTCCTTGGCCAGGAAGAACTGGTCTAAAGGGTCCCCAGCCACGATGGAAACAGACTCAATCTCTCCATTGGCCCCTTCATCAAGGTCATCGGCCGTCACCACCGCGTATACAGGCTCTGTGTCCAACGAGAAAGGAACGTGAGCGACCACGTGGAGAGCAGGGGCATGCTCGTTTACACGTTCAACGTGAACATAAAGCTTGGCAGTGCTGCTCACTCCATTATTCCCATACAGCTTCATCCCCCGGTCCACGGCCAAGATCTCCAGATCGTATCTGCTCTTTTCATCATAATTTAATCGTCCGCTTAAGGAGATGACCCCGCTCGTGGGGTGGACTGAAAAGAGCTCAACTTTGTTCTTGAAGTAGTAGTAGAATTCGCCATTGGAACCGATGTCTGCGTCTGTCGCCGTCACCTGGGCGACGCTAGTCCTTAGTGGTGTGTTTTCTGCGATTGTAACTGAGTAGGTTGTGGGTGAAAATAAGGGTCTCAGGTCATTCATATCTAAAACCTGTACGCTCACTTTGGTCCATGCTTCCAAATCCTCACCTCGGACAGAGCCTTTGACTATCAATAAATAATTGTCCTGAATTTCCCTGTTCAATATGGCGGAATTGCCACCTTTAGTTCTTATTCTGAGAAAACAGAAATCTGCAATGATGACTTCCTCAGCTTTGAAAAAGCCTTCCTCGTCTCCAGACACTATTCTGTATTTGATGTCCCAGGACAGATCGATCAAGGTGATGCCCATACGACTCTGGCTGTTGATGTAAGTCCTTGCTGCCGAGTTCTCATACACGGTAGTATTATAAATGGAATGTGTGAAGTGGAAACCCAGGGGTGCGGTCCCGGGCAGCCCCTGAGAGAGTGTAGCCAAAAGCTTGAGAAGCAGGAGGATGAGGCAAGAAGGAGGCCGTGTGCCCACACAGTATCCCATAGTTATATCCATCACATCATACTTCCATCCTGGAAGGGAAACACAGAGAGAGAGAAGAGATAAATTAACCTAGAGGAACATGAGAGAAGGAATAGAAGTAACTATTATGAAACAGTGCATTTTGAAAACTTTATTATAAAATCTTTTTACTAAAACATCAATATAAGAAAAAAAAGTGGAACTACTAGCAGTAGATCCCCACTACTAGATGACAAGGAATTCCAGATCGCTAGGATTTAAACTTATCATGCCCAGCTTTTCTGAGTGACACTTTCACAGTGCTGATAGGATTGACTGTTCACTGGTGTAAGCGTTCTTGTATTCTGAAGGTCAGTTTAGAAATACATACTTCAAGGCTTAAGAAGTTCATTTACCTCTGACATGATATTAAATTCTAGGCAATTATCCTAGGGAAATAATTAGACAAGTGTACATTTACAGGACAGTTTAAAATACAAAAATTGAAAAGACATTAATTGCTTATCAATTGAGAAGCAAATACTTTGTGGCACATTTTAGAAAACACAATACTATGCAGCCATTAAAAATAATGACTAAAAAGGTATGTATTTTCAGATGCAATAAGAATATAATACTACATGGAAAAAAGAGCATAAAACAGTATATTTGATATGATTCTATTATGACTTAAACATTTATACATAAACTGCATTTTTACCTTTAAAATGAATTAACTATGTTGTGAGTTTGGGGAGCACCTAGCATCTTCTAATATTTCTTCAATCAACATTGTTCATCAATGATTGTGTAATTGCTTTTTATAATTAGGATCTTTAAAGAAATGTTTTCCAAGTATTACCATCTTCTGTTGTGTTGAGTTTTAAACTGACCAAGAGTTAGGCATAATCCAATACGATGAAGATAAACAAAATATCATGTAAGAAACCAAGCAGGGAGGACCACCCCTAAGGAGTTACCTGATCTAAGCGATATTCACGAGTGGACTGTGCCTCTCAGAACAAGAGAGGTAAGGGAGATTTTGTGCAAGGAAAATTTAAAGAATGACAAGAGATTTATCTTCTTACAAGTAACTGAAGGAATTACTTCCAATTATTTTTATCAGCTACTATTACATTTCCACAGTCACCACAGCTCTATGACTGTGTAAAAGAAAAGATTAAAAACATTTTCCTATTTTAACTGTAAAATCTGTCAAGTGCTTTAAAAACAGAGAAGGGGAATGCTATTTAACAGGAAAGAACTGTCTATTTATATTCTTTGGCTCAGATTTTTAGAACAACCAAATGTATGAGTTCTTCCACCAAGACATACTCACCAGACCCTCACATTTCCTTTCTCTGTCTCTTCTATGGAAAACAGAATGGAAGAGAAGAGGAGAAAGGAAATGAACTCTTCTGCAGGCATTCCATGACTTAGCAGCTTTGTTACATTTAATCCTCGCAACAACCTCAGGCACCAAACTACATGTTAGAGAACTGAACGCTAGAAGACTGTTAACCCATTTGGCTGGGACACTGGCCCATCCAGTTTCTCCCAGCAGCAGAGCAGCATCTCAATCCCTGGTCTTTCCTGCTCCAAAATTCATGCTTTTTCACATCACACCATCATTCTTCCTAAATTCTCTATCAACATAAGCAAAAATGAAATTATTAAGGCTTCCCAGAAGCACATATGACTTAAATTCTACGGAACTAGTCAGTATTTATCACTGATGGGAAAACATAAAACCCACTCACCTTCTCTATTTGGTTACCTCCAGTCTGGTTTTAAACTAGTTACAGTCACTGGTTGTAAACTGAAAAAATCCCCTGGGGAAGTTTAGCATCTTCAAATATTACCAAGTATTTCTGTAGCTTATAAAAACATCTATGGTTGGCAAGGCACATATTATTAGACTTTTTTGTAGATAAGAACATCAAAGCTCACTTTCCTAATAGCAGAATCTGAATTAGAACTCAGACTCTCTCCACCCTCCACAATGCTTTCTCATTTCTTCCCCAATTCTGCCTTCCAGGAAACTCTCTAAGTGAAATTCTGGGCCTGCATTTGCTTAGTTTTATCTGAGAAGGAAATTCACCTTGCTGCTATCATCAGGTGCAGCACCTAGGAGATGCTGAATATGTGAGCAAAAAGAGTACAGTTTGATACAGGAATTTCATAAGCAAAATAAAGACTAAAAATAAAACACAGAAAGATGTAATGACATTTTATATAAGAAGTTAATTTCACAGGCAGCTCCTCTGGCAGTCTGTCCTTGGGAAATGCTCCATGTGCCAAGTTATGTGAGAAGCAGCAGCTTGGAGGCAGAAAGTTCAAATATCCCTCCCAGGAGAGTGAACCCCAGGGGACCAGTGCATCTGGGGGTACCTCTCTGTTGAGCATGCTCAGCTGAAAGATGGGATCCTTAGGAATTACAGATAGAAACCAGGAGAAGCTTTAGTAAGAACCTACATGACTTAACAGACTCTTTCAGTTCACCATCTGAGAATGCTCCAAAATGGAAGAGTCATTTTTCCGTTCACTATGAACACAGTGGAAGGAGACAGGGGTTTATAAGAGAATAATCGAAGGCATGCACGCTCTCTTAAGGTAGAAAAGAGGTTACTCCCATCTCCAGGGAAATGCAAATTCTGTTTCTGCCTCGTTACCTACTCACCAGTCTTCCCCGGCGGCTCAGACAGTAAAGAATCAGCCTACACTGCAAGAGACCCGACTTCGATCCCTGGTCGGGAAGATCCCTTATCTGAGAAGGAAATTCACCTTGCTGCTATCATCAGGTGCAGCACCTAGGAGATGCTGAATATGTGAGCAAAAAGAGTACAGTTTGATACAGGAATTTCATAAGCAAAATAAAGACTAAAAATAAAACACAGAAAGATGTAATGACATTTTATATAAGAAGTTAATTTCACAGGCAGTTCCTCTGGCAGTCTGTCCTTGGGAAATGCTCCATGTGCCAAGTTATGTGCGAAGCAGCAGCTTGGAGGCAGAAAGTTCAAATATCCCTCCCAGGAGAGTGAACCCCAGGGGACCAGTGCATCTGGGGGTACCTCTCTGTTGAGCATGCTCAGCTGAAAGATGGTATCCTTAGGAATTACAGATAGAAACCAGGAGAAGCTTTAGTAAGAACCTACATGACTTAAGAGACTCTTTCAGTTCACCATCTGAGAATGCTCCAAAATGGAAGAGTCATTTTTCCGTTCACTATGAACACAGTGGAAGGAGACAGGGGTTTATAAGAGAATAATCGAAGGCATGCACGCTCTCTTAAGGTAGAAAAGAGGTTACTCCCATCTCCAGGGAAATGCAAATTCTGTTTCTGCCTCGTTACCTACTCACCAGTCTTCCCCGGCGGCTCAGACAGTAAAGAATCAGCCTACACTGCAAGAGACCCGACTTCGATCCCTGGTCGGGAAGATCCCCGGAAACAGGAACGGCAACCCACTCCAGTATTCTTGCCTCGAGAATTCCATGGACAGAGGACCCTGGTGTGCTATAGTCCATGGGGTCTCCAAGAGTTAGACATGACTGAGCGATTAACACTTTCATCTTTTCAACAGAGTCTATGTCCAGGGCACTTCCTGTGGTTTTACCAATGCATCACACAAGGAATCTGGACTTTCTGGTCACCAGAAAAGAAAACCACTCCAATGGTGAATTCAGTTCCACTAAAGTTTTCTTAGTCTGTCCCCGAATTTCCACCCTAAGCCCAGCCTGAGGGAAACCTGTCAGGATGAGCCAAAACGACACCATCCTATTCCCAGCATCGATACCAGCATGTTCCAAGAACCATGCACCATGAAGAAGGTGTACAATACTGGTGTACTGAACACAATGCTTTTTGAAATATACTCTTTCTAAAGTTTTTATCAAATTTGTTACAATGTTGCTTTTGGTTTATGTTCTGGTTTTTTGGCTGTGAGGCATATAGGATCTTACTCTCCAACCAGGGATCAAACAACACCTCATGCATTGCAAGGCAAAGTCCTAACAACTGGATGGCCAGGGAAGCTAAACACAGTATTAAGGGAGGCAAGTAAACAGAGGCCCAGAGGCCTGTAGTGTGCTCAGCTCCCAAATCCTCCAAATAAGCACATCTTACTTCAGAAGAAGAATCAAGAAATTATACAAATTCAAAGGAGGCTGAAGGGCTTCCAAGGTGGCGTTAGCGATAAAGAACCAGCCTGCCAATGCAGGAGACACAAGAGATGCGGGTTTGATCCCTGGGTCAGGAAGAATCCCTGGAGAAGGGAATGGCACCCCACTCCAGTATTCTTGCCTGGAGAACCCCATGGACGGAGGAGCCTGGTGGGCTACAGTCCCTGGGGTTGCAGAGTCGGACATGACCGAGGGGCTGGGCACACACACATACAAAGGAGGCTTAAAGACGATCCGTTTCACTCTCTGGAGTTTACAGGTGAGGAAACTGCTGCCCCAAAATAGGATGAGATCCCCCAATATGAGGTCTCAGATCTCCCAGATTCTAGACAATACCAAATGGAAGAGTTTACCGACTGAATTAGTTTCCTTTGAGTTATATTACAATTTTCACTCTGTGGTTTACCATCATTTTGCAGTTATCTTTGTTTTCTAACATCCATTACTCCCCCTGGAGTTACTCCCTCCTCTAAGTAGTTAACTGTTTATAAATAAACATTTAAGTGCCCTGGGGGAGATTTACTTTTACAAAACCTTCTGGTGAATCCATCAAAACAAAAAATGCTGTCATAACATAATATGAAAAAACATCATTCATTTTAACTATTCGAAAATGATATTTTTGCATACTGAGTTTATTATTTTTTTTAGCAAGATACACTGCTGGAATATTTTTCTTATAAAGCAGAATTAATGATCTTAAATGCAAATGAAAAGACTTTTAAACCACACTGAAATCGAATTGTATTCTTGTGTTCTAAAATCTGGATTTAAGTTTAAAACCCTGAGCAGGACTGAGTTGTCAACTTCAGTTGTTAAAATGAAAATATCTCATGAGGTTTTAGTATTTTTACTTTTGTAAAAAAAAAAAAAAAAAGCCCACTATGGC